AGTTTGCTCTTTTTATTAAAAATAAAAATTATATAAATTAATTATTATATATAAATGGTTATTATATTAGGCTAGATTTTTACTAAACACAAATAATTAATAAAAAATAATAGCGGTAAAAAAAACTGATAAGTGTGCTCTTATTTTAGAAATAATAATTTTAATTTCAAAAAAAACAATAAATATTATATTAACTATATTTTTATGATACACTAATAATAACTAAAAAAAAATAATTATAGTAGTAAAAAACTAAACTAAATTATTATAAATACAAACATTAACCAAAAAATATTAAAGTAATAAATTCAAAAGTATTCTCTATAAATTTAAATAAAGTTGGCTAAATACATGTAATTACAGTAAAAAAAACTGAAGAGTGTGTTTTTTAAAAAAAATTAATTTTTGTTAATTAAAAAAATTAAATATTATATTAAACTAAATTTTTACTAGACACAAATAATAATTAATAAAAATTAGTTATAATATACAAGTAATTATATTAAACTAATTTTATTACTAAATACAAATAATAATATAAATAATTTGTTCAAGAGTTTTTCTTTAATTTTAATAAATTAAATATATAAATTAATATATTATACTAAAGTATTAGTAAATACAAAGAATAACCAAAGTAATATTGAAAAAGTAAAGCTGCCTTTTTATTATAAAATATAATAAATTAAATATAATTATATTTAACTAAATCTTATAAAATTCAAATAATTACTAATAGAAAATATTAATAGTATAAAAACTTAGACACATACTTAGCATAATTCAGAGATAAGTGAAGGACTGGAAAGTTTGCCGAAGACCCCTTATAAATAAAAAGTGCCTTAATAATATATTTATATAATTAGTTGGACTGCAACTAAAAAAAATAATTATAAAAGTAATAAAAAACGTTCTGTTAAAATGGCGCCTCTTCTGTCAAGCATTCGGGAATATAAAAATTTAATTCCGTCTATTCGGTGTTTTCTTAAATTTACAAAGAGTAAAGGGTCAGTGAAAACATCGAGATTTGTATCATGCAATTCTTTTTTCTGCTATGAATGAGTTGGCGCTAGTAGCAAAAAGGCATTCGGAGTTTCGCGTGCTGGAAGTATCTTTGTAAAATATATATTATAAATATTTTTTATATATCACTTTTTTAATGTTTTTCAATTTTTCTTTTATTCAATTATATTAATATTATAATTTTATACTATAATATTAATTCTATTATACATTTAATTAATTAATTAATTTATTAAAGTTGGTCCTTATTATTATGGTTCCTCTACAACTATAAGCTTTTATAATTTTATTAGTATATATACAATAACTTGATTAACAATGTCCAGTTTTCCACGTAGTATAAGCAGGTTTTCGAAGGAGAGCGGGATTAAATTTTCTTAAGGATTCCGTAAAACTTTCATTAAATTTGATTACTGAACGAAACAAAATCATTGAGATAAAAGTAGCAAAGAAAGGATTCTATTTATTTTTTTTTCCTACAAAAACGCTCGTACTTCATAAAGCAAATCCTCTTTCTTGTCTTTCAAGTATCTGCATAATATTTTACAAAAGAAAAAACTATTTAATTTTAATATCTTTTTATTTTTATTTTAGAGTTATAACGGATTTATTATTTTGGGTTTTCTGCAATTACTTCTCTTTGAATTTTAAAATAAAATCTCTTTGAGGAGCTACGATTATTTAATAATCTAAAATTTCTATTACTTTTATTATGACACTAAATATTAGTAAATTTTTTAATAATACTAATATTAGTTGTTAAAATAAGTAGAAGTAAAGGTTGGCTTAATAAGGATCGTAAAATAAATAAAGAAGGCAATAGTAAAAATGATCATAAAATCGGATAAATTGCGTAATTATATAAATAACAAATAAAGTAAAAAAAATTAAGTAATAATATTCAGTATTGGAAGAAATACTATAAGTGGAAATAAATGTTGATAATAATAATAATAGAAGTCGGTTAATGCAAATGCAAACTTCAATTTCTTTATCTTTTGTATAAAAAGTATTTCCGGCAGAAGTTGTTTATTGAAAATGAAGGCTTGCAATCTTCCTTTATCTAATAATTTTCCATTAGGAACAGCTCGAAGTTCATATGATTGATTCCCAAAAACTATCAAAACGCGTCATTATCCTAAATTAATAACGAAAAAAATAATTAAAGAAATTAATTTTAAATATACCCAAATTTTATTTTTATTTAAAGTTTTCTTGCACCAGGCGACCTTTAAAAAAAATCTAGCAAAACTTTATTATCTACAGAAAACATTTAAAATTAAACTCACTTAACCTCGTTTCCAATTTCACCAAACTTTTAGCCTCCTTTACCGCTTGTAAAAAAATTTTAAATTTAAACTTCAAAATAAACAATAAAATTTTAGTTTTTTTTAAGCACGAGGACTTGTACTAAAGAGATAAGTATAATGTTTGCGTTGTGCGGAAGGAGAGCTAATTGCGACTAAATCTTTTTCTTTATAGAAGGGCAGTCCTTTTTCTAAGCAACGACAACTTTCAACTTATTAATCTATCATATTATTACTAAACAACTTTTTATATATCTCTTCGTTCTCGTTTTTGTTTTAATTAACATTTAGATTTAATGCCGTGCAATACCATAAGTTTCTCTTACGAAAAAATATATTTTATCCAAAAAAAAGGTTGATACCGATAATTGCTGGAAAATAGCTAAAATTATTAAATAATTAAAAAAATTTAAGGATAATGTCATATATATAACTTTTCCGCTCTTTTGTAACTGGTTGGGTTATAGACAGTTTAAATAACTAATAAAATACAATCTGACTTGAAACTATTAAAGCGAAAGGCTAAGTAACCTTAAGCTTTGTCAGGTTCAAGAAGTCAGTAATTGCAACAGAATGCTAGTTTTCAGAGGTTAGGATCGGGTTGCGTTAGTGTCGCAACTGTAATAAAAAGTACGGACTTGCTAACTGTCCTTTTGGCTGATGAGGCTGATAGTGTTATCTAACAGTTTACATGTATCCACGGTTTAATAGAGTAATATGGCCATGGCCTCATATCTGTATTTAATTTAAATTTTCTTATACAAATTGTAACAGCATAGCTCTCTTTTTAAAAATAATTTCACCACCGCCACCTTCATATTAAGTTAGATTTAGTTAAAAGTAAATCTAAAAATAGGTTTATACTTAACTGTAGTTAATTTTCGTTAAGATTATTATTAAAAGTTTTTATTATATAAATACTAAACTCACACCATTTATTTGCTATAACTTATTCTATTATTTTTTCAAGGTTTCTGCTATCAGGCTATAATTAAATTTAAGCAAGGCAACTCAATTCAAGTGCAATAAAATAAACTTTACTAATAAGAACAGGGCTTTAAGTTATATTTATCTATTTTACAAATTATAAGTATTCCCACCCCTTCAAAAAGTGCAGGTCATCTGAAAAAAAGACACTTCTCTAAGATTTTACTCCGTGTTTCTTTTTTTTTAAGATCTAACTCGATCAATATTTTTATCTTTCAGACATCCCTTTTTAAGATTTACGAAGTTCATATATATTAAAAAACACCCGTTATTTTACTTAATACTTCCCATGTTTTTTTTTATATCTTTGAACTACTATATAGTAAAGACATATCTACCAACGTTAGTAGGCTCCTTTACTTCCACTAAGAGTGAATGTTCAGTTTTCAACGTAATAAAAGTTCTAACAAAGAGCTTAATTGCTCTTATTTGCTCTTATCCTTAAAGATTTAAGCATCAAAGCGAACCCAAACTCCGGAGTAACAATTCCTAAATATCCAAATAAATAGTTTAAGTGCTCCTTGGTTTCTACGGGAACTTGAAGGTGTCATTTACGTAAAAAAGATTCTCTTTACAACTGGTTCCTTACAAGAATTAGTGTTACACTATTACATTTAAGATCAACAAATATTATCGAAAACGAAAGAGGCCTTACTGTCTTACTAGGTACTATTATTTATTTTAACTTTATAGTTATATACTTTATATTTTATTGTAAAATTTTATCGAATTTTTTTTATAAATTTTATATTATTCTTATGTTTTTGCAATTAATGTTATTCTTTTTTACACGACCTAAACTAAAGATCACAGTGTCAAACAATTATATTAGTCTTTGTTGTTATCTTCATCTATATTGTGTATATATTGCTTCTTTTAAAGCTTTTTTATAAAAAAACTTTACTATAAATTATTTCTTAGCTATGATTTAATTAATTTTTTGTAATTTTATTTTTGCTAGAAAGTTTAGTTTACCCGCTTAAGATTACTAGAAATTTCAGAATACTAAGCTTTAAGTCATGCAATATTGGCAAGCCTTTTTTTTTCAATTTAGTTTTAAAATCTTCCTAAAAAACACTTAACAATTTATATTTTTTTAAAATAAATTAACAATTTGTAGAGCGGGATTGGAACGAGTGATTTTAGACCACACAAGCACAGCCTAACCAAAAAATAACATTTACTTGAATCGCTAAATACCCACAATAACATAAAAGAACAAGAAGGCCAAAATTAATAAGTTATCTAACGGGTCTCACTGTCAATTCCAAAGTTAAACGACTACTAAATTTTTAGAATTTACAGCTTCTTAAAAGAAACTTTAGTAAATATGCACTTATGTTTTATAAAGAATCACTATTATTATTTATGAAGTGCCATGCAACAGTGGAGCCACAAGAAGCCCAAGGCTACCTTAATCCGTATTTCTCCTCCGAAATGAGTTACATAATAAAGGTTAAATCCAGATGCTATAGAAGTTACTATTAGCTTATTACTTTGTAATAACGTTATTACTGTTATTAATGTAAAAGTTATTAATATTAGTATAAATATTTTTATAAGTATAAATATTTAGTATTTTAGATATCATTGTTATTATAAGATTCAATTTATTTTCACGAAATATATTCAAAGAGGTCGCCGGTTTAAGACTTTGTTTCAAAATTGTTAAGGAAAGGCGACGAGAACAGCGAAGCATGCCGCCAAACATTTGACAAATGCGGTACTGCAGTTAGAAATTGCTGCTGGGGCCCCAGTCCTTTCGATGACTGTCCAGAATACCGCATCAGCCGCGGAGTAGCAGGTGTCTTAGAGCAAAGCAGTAATAATCGAGTGTGGAATAAAAATATCATAAAAACTTACCTACTACTACGCTGCAGTCTTTTTGGCATAGCCCATATAAAAAGGGACCTCCCTAAAATACTTAAAAAAATTAATAACTTTCAAGCATTTATTAAAGTTACCTCTACGAATGGTAGAGTTATTAGTAAAAGATAGAGCAACAACTTCGTCATAAAGTAAAAACAAAAAAAATCTCTCCTAGTCCGCAGAAAGCACAACCCCTAAAATATTTCAAACTTCCAACACTTAGTATATGCTGATGAGTTTTATAAGCTTAAATAATCTAGGATCTAAAACCTATTAATAATGGTTATTGCACAGATATCTTAACTATAAAATTTTACTTTTTACTTGATGGCTGTTGTTGGTATGTCCCACTTACAGTGAGCAGCTTAATAAGTTAGAATACCACGCAACCGAGGCATAAGACCTTTGCGTTTAAAATAATTTTAACTGGTATATTTATATCTTTTAAGATAACTTTTATAACTGTGTATATATACTCATTTTAACCTTAATAAACAATAAGGTGGCTCCAAGAGGCCTCGGGTCTTGTACCTGAGAGTTACCTCTATCTGGCAGCTTTAGGGGTGGGAGTTCGGACCGGTTATATACCCCCTCTTCCTTCGAAAACATTCATAATACCTCTTCGGGAGTATGCGCTATAGGGTATTCGTGTCCCATAAGCGGTTTAAAGTCTAGTTAGACTGATCTAAGTATACCAGTAATACGTCTGTGGTTAATAAAAAATTAAAAATAAACAATAAGATTTTGTTCTCTGTTTATAACGTTCCTTCAGTCTAGAGGGATATGGTTAGGTCTTAACAAAAGTGATATTCGTATATATGAACTCTTAAATATAACGGACGCCGAGGGGCACTATACAGCAATCGTTTCGAGTAGGTTCTTCTCATCAACGGCTCAAGAAAAAGTTCGTGTCCTCGGAGACAACAATCATAAAATCTTATGTTGTTCAGTTATAATCAACTATTTCCGAATTTGTTTAAAACATAGTAACCTCAAAAAATACTACTTTATAATCAACAAGGTTAGTTGTAAAAACATGGCAATAATTAATTCTCCAATTAATTGTTTGTAAGAAGAATGATTTTTTTCCGGTTAGTAAGCGGTTATGAGCTTACAGTTCGAGATTATTTCTAGTTTATCAGCATGGGTGACCTAACGAAGAAATCTCTTTTTAATATACCATATAAGTTATATACGACTTAAAAGATAACTATCTTTCTTGCTATCACTGCACTTGCACTCTTCTTAATCTTTTGAGCAGGTGGTAGAAATTTTTCCTAAAAAACTCTTAACGGTATAAAACCATTAGAGGTTTTACCAATTTACTATTATAGCCTATATTTAGAACTCTGGTAAAAAGATTTTTAGCAAAATACTATTCGACGCACAAGTCATAGCCGCAATAAGATTTTTTATGGTACCAGGAAGTGTGCACTGTTTGAGATTTGATGATATATATTGAATTCCTACTCATTAGTTTTATGAACAATTCTGTATGTGTCTTTTAAATAAATAAATCTAGAAAGAATATAGAATTGTTCTGGAAAATCTACAAAGTCCATTTTAATTTAATACGTTGTAACAAATAGTTCGTTAATGTCAGAAAGTTGAACTTTATCATTTTTTTTACCCGTACGAGCAATGTATCCTCCATATATCTTTTATACAACCCTGTATATGGGGAAAGTATATAAAACTTGAGGCTTCATTATACGCCTAATATAAAGTAGTTAAAACTGGAGCTATAATATTCCGCTTTATAAATATTACATTACTCACATGTATATATGGACTTGGTCAGCTACAGGAAAGCTTAAGTTTTTTTTATTCTCTTCATGGTGGGGTGTGCCATCCCTTATCTAATTCTTCTTCATGTTCTTGTTTTAATTCCAGTTCTTTTCGTTTCTAATTTGTACTCATTAAAATATTAAAATAAACATATAATTAAACTAATTATTTACACTTATTCCTGGTTGCCCTTTTCCATCTTTATAGAAGTAACTTCCTTTAGGGTAGTAACAGGTATCTCGGCGATAAAGTTTTTTAAATTCGCATTCAGCGCGGTGTAGAGCAAATTTATTTCTTATATTTTGTACAAATGATCTAAGGCTCAAAAGAAATGTTTATTCTACAGTCTAAGTGAATTTTTTTCACGCCACTACTAGAAGTCTAACAACTGAGACACTCGCGAACATTGCTCACATATTTCGTATCCGCTTAGCTTGGTGCGTTGAAGCAAATGTGCAGGGTAAACGTGTTAAAAAATAGTTATTAAAATTTCAGGCACTTTTTTGGTCTGCTTTAATTACTAAAAAAACTCCCCCCTTTAATTTTGTTGTTATATGATAAAGTTTTTATCTGTTTGATATAATGTTTTTATCCAATTATAAAGCTTAGGTCTAAATTTGACTTTTTATTAAATAAATAGTTTTTTTTTTCCTCGCACCTATTTTCACAAAAAATGTTTGCAGTTGTAGTGTAATGGTTAATCCAAACGCTTATATAAGTATATTACGTTTAATTATGTTTGCTTTTACGTAAAACCTATGAATTATTTATACATGTATCACGAAGACTGAGAAGAGTAACATTCAACGGAGATGTAATTTGTTCTCTTATCGTTTATACTTTTTAAAGTCGTAAATTATCTGAATTTGTTATATTTGTTATTAAAAACTTCCTTTTAATAAAAATATGACTTCAAATTTTTCGTGTAGACTGTACACTTCAATTTTTTGTCGCTCCACAAGAGCGCCTCTCTATTAAAATACCTTTTTTAAGGCAATATTAGTTTTTCTTTAAATTTATAAATTATACAATATACAAAAAGCTTATTGCTATCTTATGTCAAGAACGCTATAAATTAAAGTGTCACATTAGATTCTCTCCAAGATCAGGGAGGTATAGACTAATAGTATCTTATTAAGTTACTATAGGGCCTGAAAAATACTAAAGCCGACTATTAAGACTTTTGATATTATTACAAGGAAGTAACTGTATGATTTATTTGGTAAGCTATTAATTGTGTGAAGTACATAGAATAATTAACTATTATTTCGGATATCGTTAGTGTACAGAATGTTGTATATAGTAAAAAGTTGCATTAATTCTAACAGGATTATAGTCTTACAAGTTAGGTCAATCTGGAAAGACCAGCAAGCATTTCTTTATAGTTGATGGTAAGATCGTTATTAGCTAAATCTCTTATGATATAAGTTCTTAATTTATTAAAATAAAACTTAAAAAAGTACGATTCTAAGTAAGGTTTTAAAGATACACCCTTACGGTCTCTTGTTATTTTTAAAAAAATTCATTGCAGCTAAAAAAACACTTAACTTGGAAGAAAACTGTTACTTTTTATAGAATATTTACGCCTACTGTATAGCCTCTTCTTACTAATAAAATTAAATATATACTTTAAGTCAAATGCTACATGAACGTTAACGTTACAGCACTTGTTATTCTCGCTTCCTCCTATGGAAAAGTATCGAAGTTGCACCCATTTAAATACTTTTAAGTATGTATGCAATGTCGTAAAGCTCGTTAGAACACCAAGATGTTTTATGAGTACATATTAATTATAGTTAAGAGTATAATAATTAATAAGATATTAAATAGGACTTCTGACTACAAATTATGATAAATAATATTTCTAGGCTTATGGGTTTTACGTATATAATAGTGTGAGCGATTTTGTTAAGCAGGCAGGGGTACTTAGAACCCTTTACGGTGGATGTATGACCCACAACAGCGAGATTCTTGTTACTGCGAATACACTTACCTCTGAGGAATAGAAAAGAAGAGTATGGCAAGGAGACAACATACACGCGGAATGCCGAGAATGATTTGACAGCAACTTAACTCTTAAGTACTTGCAGAATAATGTTTTGCCTGTTGAATAGTAATATTTTTGCATTTTTATCTTATATTTTAGTTAATCGCCATTTATTAATGTTTCCCTAATTTGTCAATATCATTAGAAAAATGCAAAATTCCTTTCTTTTAACTTTTCTGTCTTAAATTTGACTGCATCAGCCTTAAAGGGTGTCTTCCAGGTAAACCTTTCTTAAATATTAAGCACAAACGTTACTCTGTGGTATTAATACTAAGTCAAACCATATATTATACAAAGAATATTTTAATAACCGTATGTATAACTAAAAAATACCTTTTAAAATAATAATTACGGAAAGCTTTTGGCTTAGCAAATAACCATGAGAGTTTGATTACTATCTAAATCATTAAAAATTAGCTATTTGAAAATTTTTTCTAACTTCTAATATTATATAATAACCACAGAATAATGCTTTGTAAGCAATTCGTAAAGTAATTATCCTTATTCTTGTCTGCTTTCTTAGTTAGTGATAGGCAATAAGCAAAGTGGTAACGTTCGTAAAAATACTTTTCTTTATATTACTAGTTAGTTCACATCGCTTTATGCATCAATTGAAGTAGGACTCTATACCGTAGAATCACTGTTATTATTTTCTGCCTACCAACAAAATGTAAACCAATAGTGCTTAAATTTTAGGTGGGAAAAGATTATTTAAGTACCCAAATATTGGTTACTAAACTATCACTTCAATTTATGCAAACAGTTATTAATGCCCTCGTAGATGAATCTTTATAAAGTGAACTCTAAGAAATAAGATTTATGAGTTTTTGATAAATGAAATCTTTGAGGTGCGTTGAAAGGTAGCTCATTATAACAAGAGTGGTAAAAATTAAAAGATGCAAGCATTGCTTTTACTATAAATTAATAGTCATAACCATATAGGGGCACTAATTCTAAATTACAGTAAACTTTAGGCATATTTATGAAATAACTACCTACTGACTAACGTTGTTTATATGTGATCTATAATTTTTAAGAATATTTTAAGGTCTAACTGACTTGGCCAATTGAAAATAAGGATGCTTCTGCATTTTCTTTAAAAAGAGCGCAAGTTGAAAACATAGTACACCACAAATATTGTAATTAGTTAATTATTAACGTAATATGTTCAGGGTCTCTGGTCTTTGTCTTTGGGTGCAGTTGCAAAATAGTTCTATAAACTTGCTGCTCCTCTTTATATTTATTATATTGATATAAGCGCTACCATCAACTAGAGGGGCTACGCACTTGGGAGTCTTAACAAACACTTAAAAAAATAAATAGAAAATGTAGTATACATAAATTAACCACAA